CCCCTGTCAGCACTCACAGACCACAGTGAGAACAGTCCCAGTTCGTCACAGAGATATTAGGAAAAACTCTCTAACTCTCAGGGCAGTGCTGGACCAGGCTCCCAGGGGAGGCTGTGGCATCCCCAGCATCGGAGAGTTTTAAGGACAGGTCGGCCAGTCCCCTGTCAGGGCTGGTCTGGCTTTACTCGGCCCGGGCTCGGTGACCTCGCGAGGTCTCTCCCAGCCCCACGTTTCTGGATTCTCTGAAGTTCGGACTCGTTCTGTACGGGAAGGAAACGGAGACCTTGTGAAACCTTTCGTGAGACACAGGCGCAAGCAGCGAGGCTGGTGCTCACGTCACTCCCCTGGGCCGGGGAGATGCGGGTTCAAGTCCCTGATTGGGAGCCCTGACCACCTGGCTCTGTCTGGGATTGGGACGCCGAGAGCCAGCTCTGGTCCCAAGGCCCAGCCTGCCACAGGCCCGGTTCCCCATTGCTCTGCTCCAAGTGCCGCTCTTCGTAGCTGCTGGCATTTGCAGCTCGCTTTGCACGAGGGGAGTGAGGAGCTGGGCTATGGTGAATCGGGCTCCAGGTGTGGAGGAGATTCCCGTTCGCCAAGCAGCTTCCCCGGCGCCGGCTCCGCGCTCTCCCGGGCCCCTCCCTGAGGCTCAGCCCAGCCTGGCTCTGGGCCTTGTCCCCTCTCTGGGTGCAGGCGGCATGGTGCCCTTCATGCGGGTGGTTGGGCTCATTGAATAATTACCCCCCAGGCAGGCTGGAGTGAACACCCCGTCTGGCCAGGGCTGGGCAATTAAGTACCAGTTAGTGGTTTGAGGAGAGGAGGGAAAGGGACAGAGACCTAGTTGTGTCCCTTGGAATGGCCCGAACGGATCAGAACCGTGGCCCACCCAGCTCAGCCTCCCACAGTAGCTGGCACCAGCGATTCTGCAGGGCAGTGATGATGCCAGCAGAGTGCCCGGGGTGAGGCGGGGGGGCGGTGTGGATAGGGCGAAGGGCTGGAAATCTGGGTTCAAATCCTGGCTCTGCCACAGACACCCTGGGGGACCTTGGGCACATCCCTGCATCTCTCTGGGCCTCACTTTCCCCGGCGCGATGGGGCCCTAATCTTGGCCAGGGTCTGGGCAGCGCCCGGCACAAGGGGGCCCTGATCTCGGTGGGGTCTGGGCAGCACCCGGCCTGATGGGGCCCTGATCTTGGGCGGGTTTGGGCAGCGCCCGGCCTGATGGGGCCCTGATCTTGGGCGGGGTTTGGGCAGTGCCCAGTGTGATGGGGCCCTGATCTCAGTGGGGTCTGGGCAGCGCCTGGCACGGTGGGACCCTGATCTCCGGGGGGCTCTGGGCGGCACCGGCCCGTGGGGTCCCTGATCTCCGGGGGGCTCTGGGCGGCACCGGCCTGTGGGGTCCCTGATCTCCGGGGAGCTCTGGGCGGCGCCCGACCCGGTGGGGTCCCTGATCTCCGGGGGGCTCTGAGCGGCACCGACCTGTGGGGTCCCTGATCTCCTGGGGAGCTCTGGGCAGCGCCCGACCCGGTGGGATCCCTGATCTCCGGGGGACTCAGGGCAGCACCTGGCACGGTGGGACCCTGATCTCCCATGAGGTCTCTAGGTGTTAGACACAAGTAACAAGCCCAGGGTCCAGCCCCGGGCCCAGCGCCAGCAGCCTGGCGTGTTTGGGCTTCTCACAGGCGCCTGCTGTGGTTCCAGCCTCAGCCCTGGGGGAGGAGGCCAGGCCGGGTCCGGGGCTGGCAGGGGCCCCACGGCAGCGGGCAGGGTGTAACTGGCTGCCCACAGCCCCATGGCCTCGGGCGGCTCCTCGCGCGGAGCACCGGGCCAGGCCCGGGACGGGCGCCGCTGCAGCGCCCCAGCGCAAGCCGGGGAGGCGCCATGTCGCCCTCTGGTGGCGGCGGCGGGCAGGACGCGCCGGCTTTGCCCACGGGAAGGGCCCCCGGACTGTGTGTGTTTGGGGGGTTGGGCAGGGGGAGCCCGTCGTCGGGGCGGGGGTTGATGTACGGAGTGTTAGCGGGGCTCTGTGCATGGCGGGGGCGGGGGCCGGCTCTGCACGGGGAT